ACCTACCTATAACACCTCTTGAGAATAATATGTTTTAACCACTAAGCTATATTTTTATTTAATCTGGTTGAATTACGTTCAAGTTAACAAGATTTTAAGGCGTGTTTGAGCTGAGTGATACTAGAATGAATGATTTTGAAAAAAGAGATTTAAGTATAATTGATTTTCCAAAATCATCATCCAAGTGAAATCTTAAAAATCAATTTAAAGTGATTTTAAACTGTCCTAAAATTAATTTTTTTTAATTTGTCAAATATGGTCAATGGAAGAGAAGTGATTTTGACAATGACAAAAAAAAAATCACTTCCAATCACACCCTTATGACACGACCCAAATAAAATAAAAGTAAAATCGGAAGCCCTGAAATCATGGGAATGAACCAAACGTGGAACATGGCATGCATTATGCATATGATGATGATGATGTTCATTCTCCCTCTTCTTCTTTCTTCTTTCTTCTTTCTTCTTTCTTTCCTTTTTTTTTCTTTTTTTAATATTAGAAGTTAAGTTTGAATTAATAATGGGAATATGAAAATAAAAGACCTAGCTAGGGGCTTTTGCAGCATATATATTATATTATAATTAAAAATGTACTTAAGCATATGCCCTTTGAAACTTTTCAATAATCATGATTGGTGTCTCCTAAGTTTTCCCCCATAATTAAAAAAAAAAAAACCACCATTAATAATTAATTAATTGCCTTTCCCTTCACTCTTGTGATGTTCAAATATGGAGAGAGGCTCCCATGTGAGTGTGATTTGGGGACAAAGCAAAGGGGGGAAGGTGGGCTCTTTGAAACAGTTCACATGGGAGAAGGAGAGGACATGATTCTTACAACCTCCCCTCTCTTTAATTTCTTTTTCACAGCTCATCTCTCCCTCTTATTCTCCATTTGCAAAATATACTCCTTTCTAATAGGGAAAACAACACTATTCAATGTGACAAATACTTAATAGGATCTTTATTATTCTCGGGTTTGATGAGTTAGGTTGAATTGGACGTACGGAGAGGGTTGGTTCGAACTATTTGGTAATAGGTTCAAACTTTTGTTAAAGTTGGTTGAGAAATGTCATAGTCTTGTGTATATATTTGTCTAAATTAGTATTAGTAGCACAATGTCAAATTTCGAAAAGAACTATGGTTGGATTAAAAAACAATCTTAAGACAATTTTGTTCCTTCTATGGTATTCAAAGGGTATCACGAACAAAGTTGGTTGAGAGATGTCATAGTCTCGTGAAAAGTTGTGGTCATTAAAAAAAAATTATTCAATGAACTCCAATATATACTTTCTTCAAGGACTTTGATCAGGAATTGCTTTCTCTCGAAATAGATAGGAAATTAGTAAAAAAGAGAGATCATTTTTAATTGAGAATTCTTAGAGAACGCCTTGTGAACTAACATTAAACTTATTTGAACCAAGCCTAAAACCAAACAATTTGAGTCATTAAGTTTTTTAAACAGCCCTAACTAAAATAAGACATGTTTATGTTAGCAGCTTATTAAACAACAGTAGAATTAAGCTTCGAACTTTCAACCTTTTGAGCTATATTCAAGTTCACAGCTTATTCAAATAATTTGAGACTTTTTTAAATATAATACGTGGAGAAATCGAACTCACACCTTCTTGATTGGAGATATATGTCAATTACCACCTAGTTATGTTCGCTTTGACAATAATTTGAAACTTTCAATTCAGGAAGAATTGGCCGGAAATGAGTAGTTTATATATAGCTAGACAACATTATTTATTGTGTATAGTTTTGGGAGGAGTTGAAAGTGATATTTGGCATATGGATTGATTGATAAATCAACAGCATGATTAATGGGAGACGTACGTACCAAAGAATAATTTGGGTACCTAGTCAACATTAATTATATAAATCATCATCATTTAATTCTTATAATTATACTCTTTTTTATATCTCATATATCTTAATTATGAAACTTATATATCCATTTAATGCTGGCTAGGAATTTTAGCAACACCCTACCAGTACCCACTCTCTAAATCATACCTTACTTTCCTCATTTATTTTTATTTTTTGATTTAAATATTTTATTAATAAATATGTGGCTTAAATTAATATTTTCTATTCAATAAAACCCCAACCATTTAATTTAATTACGAAGAAAAGAAAATGTAACTTTTTTATTTTAATCCTAATTTGGTTTTCTATATCTAAACTTTAAAAAATCATGACATAATATCTTGGATGAATTATTTTGGAAACTTATTTTCACAAATGTCCAATTTTACCCTCTTGGATTCATGGATTTAAAATTTTCTAAATGTCAAATTTGTCCTTATTTATGATATTTATATTTATTATAATTAGTATTTTATTTAAATGCAAAAGATTGATGTTCCAAATTTGATTTTGTAAAACATTAAATTAAATTATTGTGGGACCTAAATCAATCATTTTCATAATCCCCTAATTTACTCCTTAATATATTCTACTAAGAAATGAAATTTATTACAAAATATTCAATTATTCTCATAGTCCCAAAATTTACTTCTTAATATATTATACTAAATAATGAAATTTATTACAAAATATTTTTCCATTTCATTCCAATTTTTTTATTATTTATATATGGCTATAAAGTATATACAACTGTATCATCCTACAATTAACAAACAAATCAAATAACCTACAAACCTTCCGGTCAGTGACTAGGCAATGGTTGGGATAAACAAAGGACTTGAATGGTCGACGGGCGGCCGACGACGAAAAAGAAACCTCGGGATAAAGAGACGAAAATAATGGACGGGCGGTCGAAGACGGAGGAGAAGCTAGACAGACTGTTCCAACGACGAAGAAGAACGGAGACAACGAYTGGAGACGAAGGAACGAACGGAAACAGAACGACAGAGGATAAAAAAAAGTTGGAGGAAGGAGATTTTTGAATTTTTTCAATAATGGAGCATTTTGAATTTTAAAAATTAATTAATATTGAGATAWAGATACAAAACGATATAGTAGTAAATTGAGTGATGGATATCATCTTGAATGAGGTTGTTTCATGACAAAAGTGTATAATGTATCATCAATCCTTTTATGTAATTATAGTCTATGTAATTATAGTCCTGAATAGTCAAATCACAAAAATTATGTCTTAATTCCTAAATTTTACATTGAAAAAAAAAAACTTTGATTCTACTCTTTAATTAACCATTTAACTGTTCCAAAAAAAAAACCATTTAACAAAAACTCAATTTCATTTCGGTCAAGGAAAAAAAAACTCAATTTCATTTAAAATCTACCACATCTCGCATCAATCTTTGAATAGTTAAGTGGGTAATGCACCTTTACCTCTTTAAAGAGAGACCCGTAAACTTGAATTTTTGCCTTATATTTATGATGTAGTATTCTTGTCAAGAAAAAAAAGTTGCAAAACACTTGTTGATATAAATTAATCAAATAAATCAACAACAGAAAATATACCTAAGTCAATCRAGATGAAACTAAAAGTTTTTGTAAGGAATGATATATAGAGAAAATTTTAAAACGTTAGTGCGTTGGATTAGTATTCCAAAAATATAAATTTAAAATAAAAGATTTAGTGAAAAACATGGTTGTATTTTGATGTTTTTAATGTTTTTGAAAACGTGCTTGATAGGAGATTAGGAAATTGAATCTTAATTTAAAAATTATTAAAARTATGTTGAGTAATATATTTGTACTAAAATATTATCAATTAATTTATGAACATTTTTATATAATTATTATTTTACAAAATTATATAACTTATACAATATATTTTGTTTTGTATATTTTAATTTTAACAAAAGTGGAATTAATTTAGTATATATGTCAAAATTTTGATCTTTCTGTAATTCTACATTTTAAATAATATATACTATTTAGATCAAAGAATCTAAAAACAGTTTTGAAAAAYAAAAGGGTCAAATAGGTGTYATTTAGAAACAAGAAACAAAATCTACATCACATACAAACACGTCTTTAACTATTTTATATAATTTTTTAAATTTAGAATGAACTGGAGAGCAATTGGCTCCTTCATTTTCGGTTCCATCCCTTCATGGAAATTTCTTATTTAATAATATACTAGATTAAATTTATTTCAGTCACTTTGGTTGGAAAAAAAATCAAAATAAATTTAATTGTAAAATTTAAAATAGAAAAAGTATAACAATTGAAATATTACTTTTTTTCAGCAAGAAGAAGAAGAAGAAATATTACTATAGTAGAATATAGATTTAAACAAGACCTTTTCTTTATAGTAAAAACTAAGGAGAGAGGGATGTGAAGGCCAAGGGGTCACATCGGGACGTGGTGTCTGATATCTTTTATATAAATATACATATATCTCTATCTCTTAATATATTTAATATAAAAGTGACAATGATTATATAAGAACGGATTAAAACTTATATTCTCGATTTAACTCAACATCTCAAATATTGTTGGACTTAAAAAAGGAAAAAAAAAAAAGCTCTATTTCTTTTAGTTTCTAAATTTTTAAGATAATCATTTTAGTCTCTTATTTGTTCATGTTTCTAGTTCTTTGAATAGACAAGTTGTTTTATTAGTCTAAGTATGTCATTTCTGATAGTGGATATAATTATCAGTGGTTCTATTTCTTTTTAATGCATCTTTGATAAAAGAAAAAATATTTTAGTTTTAGAAATTTCATGATTTCTAATTTAGTCCCTAAAAGCAAAAAAAGTAATTATCTTAATCACTACTTTAATTTTATTTTGATTTTAACAAATTAACAACACAACTTTGAGTATGTATAATAACAGATTAACGCGATCATGTATTCAAACTATACGAGTAAAAAAGACTAATATTGATTAAATAAACTTTAGATGACAAATCACTAGTACACAACAAAGACTCAAATGGTCACTTTTTTAAAGTCCAGAAACCAAAAGAAACGTTCGGAAATTAAAATAGATATTTTAAAACTTATATATATATATATATATATGTATATAAGAAATATAAGAATGGGGTTGAGTTGTTGTTCTCCTCCTCCTCCACCCCCACAGCTGTTGCTAGCTGTCCCTAATCCCACCCCCCATGTGACCCTCTCTCTCTCTCTCTCCCCCTATTCCTTTGGGAGTGTCTTTGAATTGAATTATGAAAGTGAAATTGAAATTGAAACACAAAACTCTTTTCTTTCTTTCTTACAAAACCCCCATCTTCTGCTCACTTCAGAATCACCAATTCTTACATTACACCAACACTTAATTGCTTACTTAATTACATTCTTTGGTTTGGGTTCGTGTGTTTGTGTCCTAATTTTATTTTCAAATCCAATTACATGGCTCAATTGCCCCCCAAAATACCCTCTTTCCCTCAAAATTGGCCTCTTTTTCCGCCGCCGCCGCCACCGCCGTCTTCTTCCTCCTCCGCCGCCCAACCCCACCACGGCTCCTCCTGGGTCGACGACTTTCTCGACTTCTCCACCGCCCGCCGCGGCCTCCACCGGCGATCCATCAGCGACTCCATTGCCTTCCTCGAAACCCCATTCTCCGACGAATGCCGCAACTCCTCCGCCGCCGCCGTCTTGCATGGTCCTCCTAATTCCTTTGACCGCCTCGACGACGACCAGCTCATGTCTATGTTCTCCGACGACATTTCCATGGCGATTCCGGCCTCCTCCAACCCCTCCTCCCCCTCCGACCAGAATAGCAACAACGACGACGACAAGACGCTCCCGTCCTCCGAACCACCGTCGTCCGCCGCCCTCCACCACCCCAAGAATGAACCCGGCGAGGTCCAAAGCTCGCATTCTCAACCTCCCACGCCGCCCTCCTCCGCCGCCGCCGACTCCACCATTGATCCAAAGCGAGTTAAAAGGTAATCCTAATTCCTAATCACATGGACATTCGACACCCATCAAATATATCCCAAAAAAAAAAAAATCCAATTTCTAAGAGAATCCAAATTTTATTGTATATCTTAGCTCAGCATTTTTAAAAATTTCTAATCAGTCACACCTTTCAATTTTGTGATCTAATAAGTTCACAGGCTGAATTTCATTAGTTTAACTCTTACTTAAGAGTATTATATAACGATTACCTCGAAAATCATATGATATAATAACAACGACAAAAAAAATGTACACACGAAATTCAACTTGGATTATAAACTTTCTAAATTGTAGGGACTAGGTGGATGAGCTCAAACTTATAATTTAAGCTAAAAATAAAAATCCTCAAAATTTATAACATTTGCATGGCTGACAATTTACATTATAATGAAGAACATAATGATGGAATTAAGACCACAATTTCCAACAATATTATTAATGATTCGTGGGTGTGGTTTTTTTTTTTTTTTTGTATCAGAATTTTGGCAAATCGACAATCAGCACAGAGATCGAGAGTCAGAAAATTACAATACATTTCTGAGCTCGAGAGAAGTGTAACGACATTACAGGTACACATAATGTAATTTAATTTCCCATCTCCTCAATTTTTTTTAATTAATATAAAGATTAGATTAATTAAATTATAATCACTTTTATTTTGAAATTTGTGATGGTAGACTGAAGTATCAGCATTGTCCCCAAGAGTTGCATTTTTGGACCACCAGAGATTGATTCTAAACGTTGATAACAGTGCTCTAAAGCAGAGGATTGCAGCTTTGGCTCAAGATAAGATTTTTAAAGACGGTAATTAGAAAAATCATAAATTAATTAAGAAGTTAATCTAATTATATAATCGTGATTATCATTTATCTATTTATTTTGCAGCTCATCAAGAGGCATTAAAGAAGGAAATAGAGAGATTAAGGCAAGTTTACCACCAGCAAAGCCTGAAGAAAATGAGTGGACTGCCGGCGCAGCCGTGTTCAGGCGAAGGTCATCCGCCGGAAGTGGGAGAATCGCCGCCGCGGGCGGCTGAGACGGCGGAGAAGGAGGAGGCTGTAAGTTAACGGTGAATTTGATAATGAATGCTAACTCTGGACTTCTTCACGTGATTTGCTTCCAATCCCCACTTGGATGTTTATGTGGTGGGCCCATTGACAGCTCGAGAATCGACGGTCACCATGCTGACACGTGGATCATTGATTTAGGAGGGTGCTGAAAAAAAAAACTACTTGTTTTTTCTTTCTTTTTAATTATTTTAATTTTTTTAACAATGAAAAAAAAAATTGTCTGGATCTGTCTGTTGGGGTAATGGGGATGGTTTTTTTTTTTTCTTTCTTTTTACCTGTCTTTTTACAAGGTAGCATTTCTATTAATTTTTAATAATTTTTTTGAAAAAGATTGTTGGGTTTTTTTTTTTTTTTGGAATTAATGGGAGAAGGGTGGATTTATTAATTGGATTAATTAATGTATTGAAGCAGATGTTGTCAGGGATTGGTGGTATGATTGATTGATTGAATCTTTTTATATGCTTTTCTTCTCTAGCTGCTCCAAATCATGTGAAGATGTTACTTTTTTTTTTTCATTTTATTTTCCTATTTTTTGAAAATTAGGAAAATATTTAATACCAAAATTTATGATCTACAAGTCTATCTATCCTCTAGCCTCATTTTCCCTCAGTTTTACATTTTAGGAAAGCAACTACAAGTATTTATTTATCGGATAACAAAAATGTGTTTATATATTTGCTCGCAGTAATTGGGACCTCTTTAGAGATCGATGACCATATGCACTTGTTAGTACTAGTACATCTAAAATTCCTTCTCAAAGTTGAAGGTTAAAATCTCTACTTTACGATTATTAAAAAAAACTCATGTATTAATTTCATCTTCAATATTAATTGTTCCTCAAAGAAAGTAATTGATACATGATGTAAGTGTGATGTTAACTTGTACATAATTTCTTATTACCTTTTCATTACTAATTTAAATATCACCGTCAATACCTCGGTGTAGGTCTAGGATAATCCCTTGTTCCAAAATCTGGATATATTTACAAGTAGCCAATTAAGAATTATATGTTACTAATTGATACATTAAGAAAAGTAGAAGAACTGAACCCATTGAATTATAAGAAAGAAAAATGTAGAGACTGAAACATGAAACAATGTAACTTGTAAGCAACACTGTGGTAAGAAAAGTACAAAAAAAGCATTTCTCAATCATCAGCATTAACTTAACTTGAAAGTCAAAATGTTAGAACATATCATTGGAATCTAAAAAGACATGTTATTTATGTTCTGTGGTTAAAAAACAAAAAAACATTTAATTTATACATTTATTCCTGTCTAAAACTTTCARGTCCTATGTTGCTTTGTAAATGCAAATGAATCAAGTRGAGCTACCTCATCTTTTTAGTCTTCTTCTAACACTATAAACTACTGCAAACCACTTTCTTCTCCATCTCATAGGCCAATGGCATGGAAAATTCAGTAGAGTTTTCTAGACTAGAATCTGCAAGTTTGTCGCGTGCGAGAAGTTATTCGAGACAGTTTGTGGCTCTTCGCTTACCTGCCGAGAAAATCGCCTCCTGTGCTTTCCCCAGTGTTTCATTACAGCTATCATTAATCTCCAGATGGTGTTGTGTTGAAGACTACTTGAGTTATGAGCATTAAAGATGTACAAAGTGAGGGCTATTGTTGATACTCCTCCACTTAGTACAAATAGTATGAAGAAGCTGTTGGGGCTGAGGCTTGGACTTTCATCTTTTGCTTCCACACTCTCACATTTCTCATTAGCAATCATGCTATCCTCCAAATCTCTAAACTTCCCAGTTTCAGATACCTTAAGCAGCGCTTCGTTAACATCGGTTAACAGCGGAGAGCCTCTCGGGAATGCCTGCAGGACAATGGGAACTATAGATGAAAATTGAATTCTTGAAATGCAGAGAATTACATGTGATTGCAAAACAAGCRAAGTAGTATACAAACAAGATCTTACAAATCCAAATCCTCCGAYTTTGKAGGTTGGCCCGGAAACCATAAATTCATTGCAAAATCTTGCCAGGAATATTTTTACAAAAGGCACTTCAAGAAAAGCAGCTGCTATCTCCTGGTTTCTGAGAGCTTCAGCATAATCATCAGGTGTCGAGTAGTTTTTAATGTTTTCAGGGCGAAAGTGTAGAACTTCCTTCAAATATCTTGCAACAAAGGACCCTCTGCCATATCCAACTAAAGCATTCGCTCTTTGGAGAGTTTCGATATTTGTTACAGTCGGTTCGAGCTTTTGAATAGTGAGCATGCTGGTAAGATTGGCTGTGTATATCTGAGTTATCACAAGTGCCACAAATAGCCAAACCACCATGGTCACCCGCGACAAGTTACTGTGCAACATACTACCTTTAGTCAAGAAAATCAACCAATATGATGTTAGATTACATGTTTTACCCCAGATGGAAACACAACAATTCATCAGCTGAGTTAATTTAGTTACCATGTAAGGAGAAGAGAGTGGTGAAGGATGAGCAAATCAAGGTTCCAGCTACATTAAACATTGAACCGTCATGTCCGGGATAGTGATTCCGTTCTATGAGCCATACAACAAATCCATTGTAGACGTTTACCACAGCAATTACAATCCACATGGTCACCGTAAAGGGCTTTGTGAACAACAATGCTCTATTACTTGTGTCTTTCGTGGCAGGAACTATCATCACAAGTCCTGATTCAGAGTAGGGCTGTGTAAATTCCGCATGTTCATAGCGTCGTGATATTATTGCTATATCGCCTACGGCTGCATCTAATTTCTTTATAGGCAAGCAGAATAAAAAAAAGGATTGTTAGAAGGAGAGATTTCAGGCTTTTATGAATCAACTAAAACACAAGAATATCTTCGAGCAGAGTTTGGATAAGATGAGATGGCAGTCCATGCTATCATGTTATGGCTGATATGAAAGAAAACTCTAATATGCAAGCAAAGAAAAGCRAGTTGTTCTTGTAGCCATATATTAAAGAAAATATGAATATTTTTCCTTACCTTCAAGTAGATTTGCTCCACTAAATCATCATACGGTCCATCGAAAGGATAGAACTGGTACAGCAGAGGGAAGCGCAGGTTGTCTAAGGTTGCTTTAAACAGATCAATTGCAAGTCCATTGAAGGATAAATTGTTTCCTGTGTGATCTTTTTCCACATGAACATACTGTTTGAACATGGAACTAGTTGGCACGCCAATCCTCAATGTGTTGCCATCTGTTGGTATGGTCCATCCCTTCGGAGTATCTGAGGATCCACCTGGCCAAAACACTTGGCCGAGATCCTTCATCGACAAGCTAGAAGACGAAAGTTCCCCCAACTCTTGTGAGAAGCCTATTTTATCAGACCAGAAGCCTAGTTCCCTATAACTCCTCCCCATCACATCGATAATCTGAAAAGTATCCGCTGGGGCTAATTTTCTGTCCTTAAACTGAATCTTTCCACCAAGTCCTTGAAAATCAGTGAGCTTGATCTTTTCCAACACGTGATGACCCTTTTCTTGGACTTCACTCATTGCCATAGCTGCCACTCTTGCAGCATCATAAGCATGGACTGCAAAACTACCAGGCTCGTGATTGTCCTCATCAGGATACTCTAATCTAAACCTTCTACTGAACCGAAGATAAAAATCATGAAATTGAGGATTGATTTCTGGGAAGTAGCTCTTGACTCCAACAACTCCTTGAAGTAAAGAGTTGATAGAAACATTGAAAGAATGTGCAAGGCTTGTGAAAGAATCAGTAGTGATCCAAACATACTCTTTTCCCATCATTCCCAACTCTTTTGCTATCTCAAACAGATGCAGTGACAAATTGGACGACATATGAACTACGAAAATTCTGCTTGACCCTCTTCTTAGCCTCTCTAGTTCTTTGGAAAATAAATCAAAATCAAACTGTGAGAGGCCAACAAATTCACTTACTTCAGCTCCTACATCTTTGAGGGAATGCACAAGGTGAGGAAATATTCCGGTGGTCGATAAATCTCTATCTTCATATATGACATTGACTAGATGCCAATCCCACGAACCAATAATAGCAGCTATAGCGCTCATTTGATTTAACTCGGAGGGAGAAGCCTGGACCAAAAATTTGAACCTCTCATTTGCCCACTTTGGTATTTCATTAGCTAATGTCAGAACTGGAATCTGATTCTCACTTCCAACCTCGGCAACTATGGATGCTGCTTCCCAGGTTTCCGGTCCTATAAGAACCTGAACTTGTTGCATACTGATCAGATCTTTAGCTGCAAGTCAAATAGCTCATTTAGATTGTGTTTTGGATATAAAATCTGTTAGATGCAGAGGAAGTAGCTGATTTAAACTAGAATTTAATGAAGAAACCAGGACTCTTTCTACATCAAAAACAGTTCATTTGACACAAATAAAGTACGCATTCGATAAAATTAAAAAGAAATAGAAACTCTTATACCTGCAAGAGCTGCCAGGCTGGGATCACTTTTGGAGTCTCTGGTGACAAGACTGAAATTTTGATTGCTGAAGGAGTTAAAATCTTCTAAAGCCATCTGCATAGCTAAAATCTCTTCCTTACCAATCCTGGAACCCTTGTCTACAATGGCCCCTATTCTGCCCTTTCCACTATCCTCCATCGTTGAGTTCGTGTTTCTTTCAGTTTCATGCTTTCCAGAAACTATCAGCGAAAACAACAAAAAGGAAAACAGAAAGAGAAACTTTCCCATTTTTCATGAGAGGTATAAGCTAAAGGCTCTGCTCTCTCCTGTCCAATATATATGCAGTATGAAACCCCTATCCTTTTCTTTATATTTTTCTTGCCAACTAAGGAAAATTCCACTCTTATAATAGAATCCAAATGACAAGGAAATTATAAGATTTCAAGTTGGTAGCATGGACCATTCCCTCTGAGAGTTTTGACTCTGCCTAGAATAATGAGTTCAAATCTTGACAATCAACATTAAATTCTAACCACCATGGAAGACAGAGATTATTTAATAGCAGTTTGAGATTGTCATTACAAGTGTTCAGACTGTAATAATATGGCCATGGGCCCCCTCCAATGCATGGTGAAGCTCAAAAGTATACCAGAAATTTCCAAATCCTTTATCAATACAAACATATATCAGAGACACCCATTTCCTATTTGTACAATCCATCTCTTTCCAACCTCCTTAAACAACTCAATGAACATGAATTACTGAGAAATACATGGAAGCAAATAGGTTTAAATCCCAACATTTTCGCCTTTGCTCAAACTTTCTTTAAAAACTTTCTGGCCCTAAACTATTACGATTGTGTCTATCTAGTCCATAAACTTTAAAGTTTCGAATAATCTACACAATCTTTGTACTTTAAAAGGTTTTTAATAGGATCTTTTAATTTGTGTCTAATAGATCCTTGCGTTAACTCCTGCATCAGTTTAAGGACTACATCACCGACTCGAAATCAGCCTACCACTCAATYCTTAAATATATGTTAGATTGCCATAAAAGCGTTAAGCCTGATAGAGTTAATAATAGAAGCCTATTAGACACAAAATCAAAARTTTAGGGAAAAAGATTTTAAAATACGRGACCAGATAGACATAAACCTAGCCGTTCATGGACCAAACTTAAAATTTAACCAACTTTTCTTGTTTTCGTAGCCATCAACATGAATCTCAGGTTACCCATTTTGAAATCCAACCTCAATTTCTGTACAAAGCTCAATCAAAATGTCTCAAGGCAATAGTGTACTTGGTTTATGAAACGCAAGACAAAAGGGAAAGTCATTGGAGTAAAGGAAGAACACATTAGAAAAATGAAGAATATTCAAAGCTGAAATACAAAAGTGAATAAAGAATTAATAAGCAGTTGACTATCCTGGTCGTGAGTCATGGAGATGGAACCTCTGAGGATTATTTTGTATATTCAAAGAGATGACTCAAATATGGAATTGAAGCTTTCAAGCTGGCTTCCATTTTTTATTTCCTGAAGCATTTTCCTAGATTTCCTGTTTCGACTCCAAGAAAGTTAGGGCAATCTTTTAGGAATTTCCTTCCATCCTTGGTAAGTTGAATCATTCATGCACACCCATGAAGACCTGGTAGTACCATTTCTAAAAAAACAAATGTATATACAAATTTGTCCTTTAATGTCTTCTCATTCTAAATATTATCAGATTATTAAAGAAAAAAAAAACATTCAGTCAACCTATTCATACATTAACCAATAAAAAAATAATAATGTTTAAGACCTAAAAACATTTAGCTCAATTGTTTAAGACATTTATTTCCAATTAAAAAGTTATGAATTCGATCTATACTCTCATATATTGTACTAAAAATGCTCAAGTAGTTAAAGGATGTATTTTCGACCAAAATATTGAGAGTTCAAATTTTCACTCCTACGTGTCATTGAATTAAAAAAAATATATCTTTAAGTAACRTTTGATAAAAACACATCTTTTACTAATTTCAAATGAAATTTTTATTTCAAGGAATTAACCATTACATTTATGAAATTTTAGGAACACTACATCGTTGTAATAAAAGTACTAGGGCCACATTTGTATTGGCGCTTACTTTTTCTTAATACACCAAGTAGACTTGGAGAATACGAACTCACGACCTCTTAGTTGAAGACAGATGTCAATTACCGCGTTAAGCTCTGTTGGCGTTAAGTTGTACTTAGATTGTCACGAGTGAAACATTAGAAGAGTTTAAACATTACAAGAGTCCAAGTATAAAGACAAATGAGATATATTAACCCAGACTAATGRCAATGAACCTTTTGAACTATTTCTGGACATGTAAGCACATGAAATTCAATAATTAGATTAAGGTGTAGGATTGATGAATTAGAAGTATATTTTATGTGTAAATTATTTACGAGTCAAATATTTTGACCGGTCATGTTACCTTAATCCTCATTGGTGTATGCAGCAAACAAGATACAACTGTACAATACAAAAACGACATTATGAGTAGTTGGTAATGTTAAGACTTGTTGGAACCAATCAAAGTCTCATGACATAATTTTGGAAATATTAGGATGGAAAGTCCTCATCTTTGTCTTGTCTTCTATCCACAAAATCGTTTTATTTTGTAGTTTGTACCATTTCTAACGTTGTTGTTATAAGACATATRTCATCGACTGAAATGTTAAATGTTTGAATATCTACTTTTAAACGTTACTGAACTAAAAACACGGTACTTAAATTCTACAACTTAATCTTATTGTTTGAAACCACAGAGGTACAATTAAACAAAAGAAAGAAAAGTATGAACATATCATTTGAAACAAAAAGAGTTTTTTGAGTTAAACTATTAATTTCTACATATCTGTCAAAGACTTTCGATAACYGTGTTAGTTTACAAATCATCTAGTTTCCATACTTCCAACTGAAGCTACCTCATCTAAACACTCTGAACTACATCAAGCACATTTTTTTCCCTCTAATATGTCAATGGCATGGAACTTCCGTACAGTTTTCTAGACCTGAATTTGCAAGTTCGTAGCATTTTGAGAGTTGTTAGGGACGGTTTGTGGCACGTCGCTGACCCGCCGAGAAAGTCCCCTCCTGTGATTTCTCCAGTKTTTCATTACAACCAACATTAATCTCCAAATAGCGTTTTGCTGAAGACAAGATTTATGAGCATTAATAATGTACAATGTGAGTGCGATTGTTGAAACTCCTCCACTTATTACAAATAGTAAAAAGAAGCTGTTGGGGCCGAGACTTGAACTTTCATCTTTTACTTCCCCATCCACACATTTCTCATTAGCAATCATGCCGTCCTCCAACTGTCTAAACTTCCCAGTTTCAGATACCTTAAGCAATGCTTCGTTAACATGCGGTAACAGCGGCGAGCCCCTCGGGAATGCCTGCAGGACATTGCAAAGCAAGAACAAAAGTTAGTCTTTTTCAAGTGATTTCTGAAATGGAATGCGGGGAATTAAATATAATGCAAAGCAATCATAGCAGCTAACAAGATCTTACAAATCCAAATCCTCCGACTTTGTAGGCTGGCCAAGAAATCATAAACTCCTTGCAAAATCTTGCAAGGAGTAGTTTTGCAAAAGGAACTTCAAGAAAAGCAGCTGCTATCTTCTGGTTTCTGAGAGCTTCAATTAACCCATCTGGGGTAGAGCATTCTTTTATGTTTTCAGAACGGAAGTCTAAAACTTCCTCCAAATATCTTTTAACAAAGGATCCTTTGGCATATCCAACAAATGCATTTGCTCTTTGGAGGGTCTCGATATTCCATACGGTTGGTTCAAGCTTTTGAATGGTGAGCATGCTGGCAAGATTGGCTGTGTAYGTCTGGGTTACCACAAGTGCCATAAATAGCCAAGCCACCATAGTAATCCGCGACAAGTTACTGTGCAGCCTATTACCTATAGTCAGTCAGCCAACATGATGGTAAATTATCAGTTTCATTTTATTTTTTCCAAACGCAGAGGCAAGAACAAAAAAAAACTCATCGGCTATGTTGGTTACCATTTAAGGAGAAGAGAGTGGTGAAGGATAGGCAAACTAAGGTTCCAGCTTGATTAAACATCGACCCTTCATGTTCGGGACAGTGATTTCGTTCGATGAACCAGACAACAAAGCCATTGTAGACAGTTACCACAGCAACTGAAATCCACATGGTCACAGTAAAGGGCTTTGTGAACAACAATGCTTTATTACTTGTGTCTTTTCTGGTAGGAACTATCATCACTAGTCCTGCTTCAGAATAGGGATGTGTAAATTCTGCGTGTTCATAGCGTCGTGTTATTATTGCTATGTCACCGACTGCTGCATCRTATTTCTTCATTGGCAAGCAGAACAAAAAAAGATTGTTAAGAAGAAGAGAAACACAATAATTTGTATATAGCTGATAAATTATGTGGAAAGAAGCATTTTTCAATGAGATTTCAATGTCAGCTTTGATGACTCAACCAAAACAGAAGTATCCTCAAACAAAGTTTTGATAAGCTGCACTTGTAGCCACATATTAAATAATGACTATTTTTCCTCACCTTCAAGTAGATTTCCTTTACTAAATCATCATACGTTCCATTGAAAGCATAGAATTTGTGCGGCAGATGGAAATGCAGATCATCTAAGGTTGCTGTAAACAGATCTATTGCAAGTCCAGTGAAGGATAAATTGTTTCCTGTCYGATCTCCTTCCACATTTACATACTGTTTGAACATGCAATTAGTTGGCACGCCAATTCTCAATGAGTTGGAATCTGTTGGTATGGCCCATCCTCTTGGAGTAGCCGTAGATCCACCTGGCCAAAACACTGGGCCAAGATTCTTCACCAACAAGCTAGCAGACGAAATTTGCCCCAACACCCGTGACTGTGAGAAGCCTAATTTTTCAGACCAAAAGCCCAGTTCCCTATAACTCCTCCCCATCACATTAATGATCTGAAAAATATCGGCTGGGGTTAGTCTTCTGTCCTTAAACTGAATCTTTCCACTCAGTCCTTGAAAATCAGTGAGCTTGATTTTTTCCAACAAGTGATTACTCCTTTCTTGGGTTTCACTCATTGCCATAGCTGCTGTTTTTGCAGCATCATAAGCCTGTACCGCAAAAATACTAGGCTCATGGTTGTCCTCATCAGAATACTCTGATCTAAACCTTCCAGAGAACTGCCGATAAAAATCATGAAACCGAGGATTATTTGGGAAGTAGCTCTTCACTCCAACGACTCCTTGTAGTAAAGAGTTGATGGAAACATTGAAAGAATGTGCAAGGTTTGTGAAAGAATCAGTAGTGATCCAAACATAGTCCTTTCCCATCATTCCCAATTCCTTTGCTATCTCAAATAGATGCAGAGACAAATTTAAAGACATATGAACTACAAAAATTCTACTTGACCCTCTTCTTAGCCTCTCTAGTTCTTCGGACAATGAATCAGAGTCAAAATGTGGGAGACCAACAAATTCACTTATTTCAGCCCCTACATCTTTGAGCGCATGCACAAGGTGAGGAAAAATTCCACTGGTCGATGAATCTCTATCTTCATATATAACATTGACCAGATGCCAATTCCACGAACCTATAATAGCAGCTATGGCCTTCATTTGATTAAGCTGGGAGGGAGAAGCTTGGACCAAAAATTTGAACCTCTCATTTGCCCACTTTGGTATTTCATTAGCTAACGCCAGAACTGGAATTTGATTCTCGCTTCCAACCCCAGCAACTACAGATGCCGCTTCCCAGGTTTGTGGTCCTATAAGAACCTCAACTTGTTGAATGCTGATGAGATCCTTAGCTGCAAATTATAAAAAGTTCATTTAGAACATGTATAGGATATAAACTCTGTCTGATGCATATAAAGTAGCTGGTTTAAACTAGAATGTAATGAAGAAACCAGGACTCTTTCTACTTCGAGACATTTCATTGGATATGAACAGGAATGCGGTCATTAGATTTAAAGAAGAAATAGAAGCTATTACCTGCAAGAGCTGCCTGATTGGGATCACTTTTGAAGTCTCTAATGACAAGACTGAAACTTCGATTGCTGATGGAGTTAATGTCGTCTATTGCCATCTGCATAGCTAAAATCTCTTCCTTGCCAATCCTGGAACTCTTATCTACCATGGCCCCTATTCTGCCCTTTCCACTATGCCCCATTGTTGACCTCGTGCTTCTTTCGGTTTCATGCTTTCCAGAAACTACTAGAGCAAAAAAGAAAGCAAACAGAAAGGGAAGCTTTCCCATCTTTTCTGAGAATGAGAGGCACATGCCAAAGGCTTTGCTCTCTCCTCTTCAATACATATATATAGTAATCAACCCCTATCATTTTCTTTTTACTTCTCTTTCCAACTAAGAAAAGTCATTTCTTTTCTCACACGTATCTAGAATGACACCGAAATAAGATTTTGACGGCATAAACATTTGAAGATTTTAGGCCTCTGAGAGGTTTGACTCTGTCAAGAAGAATGATTGAGAGATTATTGACAACCAACTTTAAGTTCTCACCACCATGCATGGAAGATAGTGATTATTTCATAGCAGCTTTAGATTATCATTACAAGTATTCAGACTGTAATTAAGCATTCCAGAAATTTCCAAATCCTTTATGAACACAAGCATATATCAGAGACATCCATTCCCTAGCTATTTGTGCAATTCATTTCCTTCCAATCTCCCCAAACAACCGACTCCCACCCCACATTGGTTGAACTCAAAATCAGAAACTCAAYGAACATGGAGAACTTAGAAAATATGGTAACAGAGCAAATGGGTTTAAAATCCCAACTCAAATTTTTAATTTTAATCCCTAAATTCTTTCTTTAGAACCTCTTTAATTATCTCTTCCCCATTATAGTATAAAGTATGGCTTGCAGTTAACACGAATCTGTCTGAGTCCTCAGGTTTACCAATTTCCAAATCCAATCTCAGATTCRTTCAATACACATCGACTTGGAAGCATAGTGGGATTCGTGAAATGCAAAACGAAAGGAAATATTGAAAATGAATAATATTCAAAGTTAAAGAACATAAGACTTTCCTTTCCTGGTCAAGAGTCATGGAGGTGGAATCACTGAATCGCTGTTTGGATTCCGAGAAAGTTAGGGTAAATTTTCGGGAATTTTCTTCCATTCTCGTAGGTTGAATCGTTCATGCAAGTCCTCGTAGACTTTGCTACGTACCATTTTTCTCTCTCTATCTCRTAATAAAAAAATAAAATTATAAGGTTAGATATATATTTTTTATTCTTATATTCAGGAGTACCCGCTTTCACCTAAAGGTTAGTATCCAAGATTAGATACCTTCRAAAATTATAATTTAATCCCAAAAAAATCATTTCTTAATAAATATTAAATTTAAATTTAAATCTCATTTTGTTGAAAATTATATATTGGAAAATTGGTGGATAGAAAAAATCTTTATATCAATATTTCATACTCATCTCAGTAATATAATAGATGCATATCACATATATATATCAGTAGTCAAACAGAGAGATATATGTATATATATATTACAAAATTGAGTATCCGTTTTTTTTATAAAAGAAAAGTACTATATTTGATAAAACTGGGTGGGGATGTTATTTTTCCAATTTTACTTTTTTTTCAACTGCCCCTCGTATATTTTATGTTAGTTTTTAGATTTTCAAAAAATCTATTTTTTTAAATGTATATAAACTAGTAATAATTRATGAGGTTCATATTTGTCGTGATTTTACTAATTTAACATGCGACCTGGTTTTTTAATATTRTTATGTTTAACGTGGAATATATTGAAGTCATATAGCAGAGCTAAAATAGGTACTAGGTGTAACAGATATTAATAACAAAATAACAATGAGAGTTAAAATACTATTTTTAAAATTTTAAATATTATAATTGATATTCCGAAAGTTYAGGAATCAAAATTATTTTTAAATCTAGATATTATCAAACTAATAAAAAAAGAAATTTTCATACTATAATTAATAAATATAATAATTAAAATACATTTTTCATCCCTATATTTTCAACCTCATAATATTTTGGCCCTCGGCTCATATATTTTCTTATAATATTTAAATTTTTKTAGTCTATTTTCTTTTCTTTTTTTAGTACATCAAATATAAGTAGGGATTCGAACCGTCGACTTCAAAAATAGAAGGTAAATATTTTTTTAGTCAAACAATTGCAGGGGTAAGAGATCAAAACATCAACCTTTATTATGGCGATATGTGCCTTATCTACTGAATAATATGCTCAAATAGAATTAATGAAAGTGTAGATATCTAAACTGTTGAACTATACTCATGTTTGCTTCTTTGTAGTCACGTAAGCATAACTTACCCAATTAACATATTAATAACCTCTATTAAAGATTTTTGAATCGTGATCCTCCCCTTGTTTAAATTATAATGTTTTAAAAAATAATTTAGTCTTTGTAATTTAAAAAATATAACAACTGTTGTAATCAAATTCATGCAATTGAGATGAAGTTTGTTGAGTCCATTAAATTTTTTTCCAATCAAAATTTTAATGAAATTTTTAACTTAGGAATTAAACTATTATATTTCTAATAGTATAATTAGTATAAAGACCTTCAACTTTGAGTTACGGTAAGGTATGCTTATGTTGATAGGTTAAAATTTGTAATTTATCAATATTATTTAGTCTGATATTCTGACCGTTAATGATACATTACTATGATATAATAATCATACTGAGTCTTACAGAACAGTAAAAATTTGGCATAGAAAAGGGGAAAAATTGTACTCAAAAAGAGAAGAAAAGGGGGGAAAATCCACAAGGTACAAAGTCCTCGGCTATGCCACTTCTTGTTCTTGTCCACTCCACACAAATGACAAGACTATTATTTTGCTTTGTTTGGTCTTCAGTCCATAATTGCAACTCTAGCTAGCCGTGTACCAAAGCAAACTAACGAAACCAGGTGATTGGGTCCAAAGGAGAAAAAAAAAAAAAAAGACTAATTCAGTGTACCTTCTATTAGTAACAATTTAGTCTTTGAACTTAAATGGGTAACAACTTAGTCCTTATCGTGAAAAATTTTTGTTAAGTTTCTTATATATATAGATTGATAAACTAAAGAGAAGCTAAATATGTTTATAAATTAGAAATATTAAATTGTTATATGATAAAATTTAACACTTGATTTTAATAAATTTTGTTACASTAGGGACTAAATTATTACAAATTTTAAACTACAAGGACTAAATCATTACAAGCTAAAGTTCAGGAACTAAATTGTAACTTTAGTGAAAGTACAAGGACTAAAGTAAAAGTACAGGACCAAATGTATTTTTTAATCTAAATTTTACGATTTAATCTTATCATTTAAGATCATTTTAATGCTAAGTCACAATGATTTCAATCTTTATTAATCAAAACTCTATTTACATCACACTCCTATACACCTAGTGATTTTTTCAAGAGAAGATAATTTGGTCGTTTTTTCATATGTATCTAGCCTAGCTTGATATGAGAAGTGCTAATTCGGTTTATCTTGACTTCACTCCAGAACACTACCATCCCTAGAATCCATAAGAAGAGATGTTTCTCGCTTAGTGCCTAAACTGCATTATGCTCCCCACAAATTAGATGCGTAGTACAAAAAGCTCGTAGTACCAGCTAAAAGGAAAGAGTCTAAATCGACCCTCCTTTCTTTCTTTCTCGCTTGCCAGACACTTATAAAAGTTCACCTTTAGGCGCCTTTACCTAACTCATCGCGTGAGTATTGTCTTGCCTCACTATTTACCTGGAAGCACTCACTATGATTAGCTCACCAGCCATGTATCATGTCAAGACTTTTCCCAAACATCTGCCCATTTGGGCCTTAGATATTAATCTGCCTGAATATAGTGTTGGGAAAAGCATAAAGAAAGCATTATTGAGCAATCACTTGACTTGAATGAATGTCCAAGTCTTGAATCACATATCATTTAAATCTAAAAGAAACGTTTTATGGATTAAACAGTTAATTTCTGCATATTTATCTACAGCTTTACAAAACAACTTGTTTTGTAAATCATCTGATTTTCTATGCTTCCAACTAGAGCTTCCCTCATCTGTCTAATGGAGTTTATTCTTCTTCTAGTCTCCATTGTAGAGATGAGGGAGCTCTAGAACTCTATGAAGACCTTGAACTATTATTATACAGCACTTYGGCATGGAGATTAAGTACAGTTTTCTAGACTTGAATTTGCATGTTTGTAACATTTGAGAAGTTATTTGGGATGGTTTGTGGCTGATCGCTTACCCGTCGAGAAAATCGCCTCCTGTTTTTTCCCCAGTGTCTCATCACAGCTATCATTAATCTCCAGATGGTGTTTTGTTGAAGACTAGATTCATGAGCTTTAAAGATGTACAATGCAAGTGCTATTGTTGATACTCCTGAACTTAATACAAAAAGTATAAAGAAGCTGTTGGGGCTGAGACTTGGATTTCCATCTTTTGCTTCCCCATCCTCGCATTTCTCATTAGCGATCATGCTGTCTTCCAACTGTCTGAACTTCCCAGTTTCRGATACCTTAAGCAATGCTTTGTTGACATATTGTAACAGCGGAGAGCCTCTCGGAAACGCCTGCAGAACATCACGAAGCAAGGACAAAATTTAATCTTTTAGAAGTTATCTCTAGAATGCGTAGAATTAAATGTAATGCAAAGCAAACATAGCAGCAACAAGATCTTACAAATCCAAATCCTCCAACTTTGTAGGTTGGCCCAGAAATCATGAATTCCTGGCAAAATCTTGCAAGGAATAATTTTGCAAAAGGGACTTCAAGAAAAGCAGCTGCTATCTCCTGGTTTCTGAGAGCTTCAGCTAAACCATCAGGTGTAGAGTAGTTTTTTATGTTTTCTCCGCGAAAGCGTAAAACGTCCTCCAAATAACTTGCAACAAAGGACCCTCTGCCATATCCCACAAATGCATTCATTCTTTGGAGAGTCTCGATATTCGATATAGTTGGTTCAAGCTTTTGAATAGTGAGCATGCTGGTAAGATTGGCAGTGTATATCTGAGTTATCACAAGTGCCACAAATAGCCAAACCACCATGGTCATCCGTGACAAGTTACTGTGTAGCCTATTACCTTTAGTCAAGCAAATCAGCCAATATGATGTTAAAATTTCTTCCTTTTTTTTATTTCCAAATGCAAGAATGGCAAAACAATAATTCATCGGCTGCTTTGGTTACCATGCAAGGAGAAGAGAGTGGTGAAGGATGAGCAAAGCATGGTTCCAGCTTGATTAAACATCGAACCTTCATCTTCGGGACCATGACTTCGTTCTATGAACCAAACAACAAAGCCATTGTAGACATTTACCACAGCAATTACAATCCACATGGTCACCGTAAAGGGCTTTGTGAACAACAATGCTCTATTACTTCTGTCTTTTGTGGTAGGAACTATCATCACAAGTCCTGCTTCAGTGTAAGGCTGTGTAAATTCTGCGTGTTCATAACGTGTTGATACTATTGCTATGTCACCTACGGCAGCATCAAAAGTCTTCATAGGCAGGCAGAAGAAAAAAAGATTGTTAAAAGGAGAAAAGGTACGTGATAATTTGCATATAGCTGATAAATTGTGTGAGAAGAAGCTCCTTCCATGAGATTTTTTAGTGTTAGCTTTGATGATCAACTGAAAAATAAGCACCTTCAAAAAAGTTTTGATCAGATAAGATTGCAGTATATGCTATAAGTTATGCTTATGACTAATTCAAGAGGAAACGTAAGCAGAAAAAGGTGAGATGTTCCTTCAGCGATATATTAAAGAATTATATGAATATTTTTCCTTACCTTCGAATCGATGTTCTTCACTAGATCATCATATGTTCCATTGTAAGCAGAGAAGTTGTACGGCAGAGGGAAGGGCAGATTGTCTATGGTTGCTTTAAACAGACCGATTGCAAGTCCATTGAAGGATAAATTATTTCCCATTTGGTCTCCTTCCACATCTACATACTGTTTGAACATGGGACTAGTTGGCACACCAATTCTCAACGAGTTGGCATTTGTTGGTATGGCCCATCCCCTTGGAGCATCTGTGGATCCACCTGGCCAAAACACTTTGCCAAGATCCTTCATTGACAAACTCGAAGACAATCTTTTCCCCAACTTTTGTGAGAAGTGTAATTCATTAGACCAGAAGCCTAGTTCCCTATAACTCCTTCCCACCACATTGATGATCTGAAAAGTATCGGCTGGGGTTAATTTTCTGTCCTTAAACTGAATCTTTCCACTTAATCCTTGAAAATCAGTGAGMTTGATTTTTTCCAATAAGTGATGACCCTTTTCTTGGGTTTCACTCATTGCCATAGCTGCTGTTCTTGCAGCATCATAAGCCTGTACTGCAAAAATACTAGGCTCGTGGTTGTACTCATCTGAATGCTCTAACCTAAACCTTCTACAGAACCGAAGATAAAAATCAGGGTTGCTTTGCGGGAAGTAACTCTTGACTCCAATAACTCCTTGCAGTAAAGAGATTATTGAAACATTGAAAGAATGTGCAAGACTTGTGAAAGAATCAGTAGTGATCCAAACATAGTCCCTTCCCATCATTTCCATCTCTTTTGCCATCTCAAATAGATGCAATGTCAACTTTGAAGACATATGAACTACGAAAACTCTACTTGGCCCTCTTCTAAGCCTCTCTAGTTCACTGGACAATAAATTAGAATCAAAATCAGGGAGGCCAACAAATTCACTTATTTCAGCTCCAAAATCTTTGAGGGCATGCACAAAGTGAGGAAATATTTCAGTGGTCGAGAAATCTCCATCTTCATATATGACATTAACCAGATGCCAATCCCACGAACCAATAATAGCAGCTATGGCCTTAATCTGATTAAACTGGGAGGGAGAAGCTTGGACCAAAAAGTCCAACCTCTCAGTTGCCCACTTTGGCATGTCATTAGCCAATGACAGAACTGGAATCTGATTCTTACTTCCGATCTCAGCAACTACGGAAACCGCTTCCCAGGTTTGTGGTCCTATAAGAACCTGAACTTGTTCCATATTGATGAGATCTTTGGCTGCAAATTCAATAGTTCATTTCTATTGTGTTTAGGGAATAAACTCTTAGCTAGTTTAAACTAGAATGTAATAATGAAAACATGACTCTTTCTACCTTAGAGCAGTTCCTTTGATATGAACAGAATGCATTCAATTAAATTAAAACGAAATAGAAAAGAAACTCTCACCTGCAAGAGCTGCCTGATTGGGATCACTTTTGGAGTCCCGGATGTCAAGACTGAAATTTGAATTGCTTAAGGAGTTAAAATCCTCTACAGCCATCAGCATAGCTAAACTCTCTTCCTTACCAATCCTAGAACTCTTGTCTACAATGGCCCCTATTCTTCCCTTTCCACCGTCGTCCATCTTTGAGCTCGCATTTGTTTCAGTTTCGTGCTTACCAGAAACTAACAGAGCAAACAACAAGAAAGAAAACAGAAAGGRAAACTGTCCCATTTTTTCGGAGAGGCAAAAGCCGCCTTTGCTCTCTCCAATATATATGCACAAGAAACCCTTCTTCTTTATATTTTTCTTGTTGACTAAGAAATGACATTTCTTTTTTCGCTCTCATTTTCTATCCAAATCACTAAGAAATTTTAAGATTTCAAGTGGGTGACATGAACTACCATGCGCTTGTGAGAGTTTTGACTTTGCCTAGGTTGGAATAAGGAATTGAGGAACTTGACCACTCTAAAATTCCAACCATGAACCACCATGGACAGACATTGATTATCTAATAGAAGTT